TATATATATATATATATATATATATATATATTTGGTGAAGCTGAGTGAGACACAAGTTCGCTGAAAAGTTAGCGTGGATAATGGCTTCTGTGCTTCTTGGCTCTTTCTCTTTAGCTTCTTCCCTTACCGCTGGTAATCCTTTCAAATTCGTCCGTTTTATTTCAGCAATATTACTGCAAATTTATGTTGTTTATGCATTTTTCTAAAAAAAAATTGATGTGAAAAATGTTATATTATTTTATGGCTCCATGGTGTGCATGCTGATAATTTTATTGCTGAGGAAACCTTGTGATATGAGAAGAAGCATATAAATGCATGGGTGTATTGAAGGTGAGGGTGCAAGCCAGGTTGTGTTGAATCGAGTTTGAACTGAATTGAGTTTGAATGAATATGTTATTTGATTCAATCAAAGTTTAATAGATTAAGTTGGGTCAAGTTTGTATAATATATTTTTTGAAATCTAACTTAATTCAACATGATCGTGAGTGGGTTGGATTGTATTGGATCAATTAAGTCTATATAATTAAATTTATTTAGTTTTAATAAGAATTTAAATATTTCAAAATAGATGTAAATTATTTGATATCTTATTGCAAATGTAATATTATCAACCTATAAAATAAATAATGATAGAAACTAAATTCTAAAATAAATTTATTTATTTCGCTACATTGTTATCAACTCAAACAATCAACATTAATATAAAAAAAATTAAATAAGTATGTTATATTGTTACAATGCTTTTAATCCAAAAACAAAAAAAACTCATTATTTAACAAGATTGACAAAGACTATTATCCTAAGCAATGATCATCCAAATACTAAGTTATTATTATTATTAATGATAATAATAATAATAATAATAATAATAATAATAATAAATTATTATTATTATTATTATTATTATTAAAGCCAGAAAATAGTGGCTAACACAAGGTTAGAAAACAATAGTTAGTTTAAGCTAGATTGATTTCTCAGGTTTCATCACTTAAACTAGGAAGTATGGTACTATGTCAAGGTAGAATAGTTTGGATATGGGTCTACCACAACATTAACTAGCTTAACTAAGTCACTCATGAGATTTGCCCACCAACAACCTTCCAAATACCAAAACCCTCTGATACTAGCTAGGTTAGGGATTTTAACCCCTGACTTCATACTTTACTCGATTGGTCACTTATAATTAGTATAGTTCAACCTTGCTCCTATACTATGATCACTTTATACACGTATGCTCGACCTTACCCACATACACATAATAAAATTTGGAATACCACAGTCTTTCATTTTTAAAAATACCAAACATGTTCAGATAGAGAGCACCACATTCATAACTTAAACATATAACATGATTAGTGGTAATTACAAAAGAAATAAGGTTAAGGTTTTCAAAATAATTTAACAGAAACAACATCCTAATTTAATCCTATGTACGCCCCGATATCACATGTCCTATCAGAGCAAATCCCAACATAGAAGCCTAAGCTTCATCATCAACATCCTCAGCCTCATGTTGATAATCACCTATATGACAGTCAAAGAAAACAACACAAGAGAAAAGGGAGTGAGAAACATCTCACTCTGGCTCACAGTGTAGAAATATACGCCAGATAGCCAAACACAAACAAAATAGGTATAACATAGATAAATTAATAATAACATCATATCTCACTCATCCAAGACATATCAATTTTTCATATAACATTAAAATGCACATGTATGGACACGGACTACATTTTATCATGCATGTGGCGCCAGTAACATATCACATGGCATATTGCCGCTAGCAATACAC